AACAAAATCTTACCTTATACCAAATCCTTGAATTCTTCAAATACCAAAATCCATGATTACATTTACAAGTATGAAACTTTTTGCCTATTGTGGTAAGAGCTCCAAGTTTGAAACTTTGAAGTTTAAACACTAATTCCACTCTTACCCTTTTCATTTCCCTCATACCCTTCACTGCATATATATTCAGAACACTGACCCAATTTCAATGACTGAATATTTTTCTGTAGATTTGGGTTATTGTATATGTTCAAAGTTTGAACCTTTATTGTTCCCACCAAAAAAGTAGAGACATTTTTAGGGGACAGTGACAAAGAGGTAACTGTTCTTATTTCACTTCAATCATGCCATCAGGTCCTAAGAAGAGAAAAGCTGCCAAGAGAAAGAGGCAAATGGAAAACAACATTAACAACCACCTTCAAGGTATTTTTACCCAATGGCTTTTTTGTTTTAGAGCTTTTGATTATGCATGTGCACCTAACTGATAATTACTCATAGGTTGGTTCTCTTCAATTATTGATTTTATCTGTTTGTTTTTTTATCTGGGGTCTTTTTTTTTTGGACTGTTTTGTTAGATGGATATCTATTAATTTGTCTTGTTTTGCATTTATTTGATTGGGATTTTGAGTTTGGGGTAGTTGGGTACCTAGGTCTATGTTATTGTTAGTGTTTATTTGGTTGGTTTGATTAATTGTTGGAGAACAAATGTCAGGAAATGATGAATCCCACAATGAGAAGGGAAGTGATGGCGGCGAGGTTAGTTCTCCGGAACATCGTGACCATGATGATAATCATCACCAAAATCCATTTAATGAAGGGACTGAAGAGGTTAAAGAGAGAGACCCACTAGCTTCTCAACCAATTGCTTCTGATGCCAAGTCCATGGAAGAAAATCGTAGTGATATTCGGATTGATAAAGTGGTACGAGGAAAAGAGGATAGTGTTGTTTTGATAGAGGGAGATATGAAATCTGAGGAGAGTTCTGAGAGCAAAGATGTGAGTACTGCCAAGGAATCATATTACGGGAAGGAGAATTGCAGTGGTACTTCAAATGATGAAGCTGTGGCTGAGAAAAACACGAAGGGTGATGATTATAATTCAATTGAAGTGGCGATTAAATGTAATGGGTTTGTTAAATCCAGTGATTCCTCACCTTCCAATATGACTTTGATTGCTGAAAATGCACCAGTTGAGGAGACTGATAATTCAGCTGCGGAGTCTTTTGTTAATTCAGTTAAGGCTGTGGTTTCTTTGTCTGAGGCCAAAAAGGATGATAATGGAAGTGTATTACTAGAGAATTCTATAGTCCCTTCTCTAGGAGTGACCAATCTCGCTACAAAGATGAACGGGGAGCATGTATATCCCTTAACTGATGAGAGTGCTAGAGTGTCAAATTTGGAGGAACCTAAGCCAAAGGGATGTGATAGCAAAGTATTAGCTTCATTGTCTGCTAATCCTTTCACTAAATCTTCTAACAGTGCAGAACATATTAAGGATTCCGAGACTCATGAATTCTCTGAAAATCAGGTTTTGCATTTTCTCATGTACACAAGTTTCACCACACAATTATGGTTTGTGAATTTATTTATTTTGTAAAAGGTCATTTTAAATCTAATTCTATTTGCTAATTTGATATGCAGCCTCTCATAGCATCAGCTCCACATATGGTGCAAAAGACGTCTTGGTTGAGTTGCTGCGGATTGTTCGAAGTTCTGTCAGGCTCAAATAGATGACCTCAGGTTTGGAGTTCTTTTAACTTTCGAAGTTGTATACGTTGGAACTCCGTTTAACATAAAAAAGTCGTATTTCTGTGATGGATATGCTGCCCTCCTGTATTCCTACTTGTGGTTGTAGTTGTTTGAAATTTTACGTCGTTTTTAACTGGTTTGGTTAATGGTGTTTTTATGACTTCGATTATTAGAAGGAAGTTTGGTAGTGTTACTGTTAAACAAAACTTTCAAAACAGTCAAAGCAACTCTTTATTCACTAATTACTGGGTGTGTGGTAGGTCCTTGGACCAAGTCTTGGTAGATGTGAAGGTGTTAAATTTTAATGGCAATATGCAATTCATGCTAATATTTTTCGGTGGAGCTCATATTTTTTAAGCTTGTTTGGATTAGAAACTAATTTTGAATAAGTTTAGGTGATTAGCATGTATTTGGTTTTCAGCACATGGTCTTTCTAAGGGGATTTCTGTAACATCAGCTTTTTCAATACTTGTCTTATAAGGAGGAAAAATATGAGAAAGTATCATGGATCAATAACTTCAGAACCACTTTGTTACATAATTGTAATTGAAGATATGTATTTCATATTATCATTCTCTTGGTCCCATACTCTCATGCACTAAAAATCAAGTTACTTCGGCCACGGTGCTATAATTATCGGTCTAATAATTTGGAAACACGATCCAGTAGTTTAGGACTTTTTAGTGAACGCTGAGAATGCATGCATTCATGAACTTTTTGGTTGCCATGTTATAATTGACTAAATCAAGATTTAGTTCTGCAGATTGTCTCTTCTATGTATAAAGATTATATGTTGCTTTACACAAAATTCCCCACATGCCCAAAAAGGACTAAGAACTTTATTCATTTGTGGATAATGCTTACTTTGAATAGTATTTGAATAATATCAGTGTACATTTTGAACATGCAAATCAAGCTATGGTTGACAATATCTTCCTTTTGTTTCTCTTGCAGAAATACAAGCAAGGTGTCAAACTTGTGAAGAACTTTGTTTAAAGCTTGTGTTTTTGATCTAGATTGTTTCCTTTAAGCTTTTCCAAAATGTAATGAGCAACCAGACCCCACTATATAGTCCATATAAATGTTTATTTACTTACAGTAAAGTTTGTTGTATTGTGTTAGCAACAATTACAGCTCAAGTCTTGAATATTCTAAACTGCATTTTTAATTCTGTGAGTAATATCATTGGTCTTGGTATTTTTTGTCTTAGTTATCTGTTGTTAATGAAATATATTTCCATTATTTGCATTGTGTAAAATTCATAAAGGGATATCTATCTGGAGAATGCTATGATTGACTGTGGTTTGGTGTGTTTGGACTATAAGGAATTATGTAATATTTAAGGGGGAAATTTTAGTTATATCCAGATTATGGATATGATTCAAATTAGATATTGGATTTGGTTTACAAAATATTGTTGGTTGTAATTCGTTATCCTTTGCACAATGATGCATTGATCCTATTACTTGTACGGACTTGTGTTGCAAGTTGTAATCGGGTTGACACTCCTTGTGCCTTTTTAATATCTTTGCTTATAAAAAAAACCCAAAGATTTTCTAATAATTTGTTTGTGGAGTGGTAAATGGTTATCAATGTGATGCACAACTTTCTTTCTTGCCATGATCAATGCTTACACCTTACAAAAGAAAAAGAAATACAAGCACACAAATACTTTCTCTATTGCTCTATTCACATTCCATACAGAAGTTCAGCAACAAAAAGAGTGTGGCAATTGACTTCATTTGCTCATTAGACATCTATGTATTATGTGGTCTTCTTGGACGGAAAAAAAATTAGAGTTAATTACATTCATATCTCAGAGTTTTAGTGAAATTACAAAAATCTTTCATCATTTTTTGTCCTTACATGAATCACTCATTTCTCTTATACAAACCACCCATTATTTTGTACATACATTACATTGACTACTCCTATATATAAGTATAATATTTTAAACAAAAAAATTGTGTTTGGTATAATTAAGTTAAACAAAATATTTTATATTTGGTAGACAATTTCAAATAGTACAAAAGTCAGTATTTCTTTATTATTTTATTTTTTATAATATTTTATAACGAACTAAATAATGAAGACGCATTGACTCTTATATCATTTGGATTTGTCTACCCAATATGTAATATTTTACTTAACTTAATACACACGCTACACATTTTTTGTCTAAAATATTACATTTATATCTCATGCAGAATAGTAAATATAATAAATGTACAAAATTAGGGTGGTTCGTATAAGAGGGATGAGTGGTTCGTGTAATGATAAAAAATGGAAGGATGGTTTGTGTAATTTTACTAAAACTCAGGGGTGTGAATATAATTAACTTAACAAATTATAATTATGATATTAATTAGATTAGATTATAAGTGCTTATATAATATAATACTTTCATATAAACAAGTAATGTTAGTGACTTATTCCTCCTTTTTACAAACCATATGAATTATTATGATTGCAAGGTACTCAAAACACATTTACAAAATCTCCAAACCTTCCTACCATGTAAAGGTAGAAATACAAGTAATGGGATTGGAAAATATCATTAGAGCTATGACTCCAATGGTTCTTTGTTTTCATGGGTCAAACTAACTCTGAGAAGACTGAATAAACCACCAGACAAAGGTGATGCCTTGCTTGTTGATGGCATAAAGGTTCCATTTCGAGATAAGATGTTACCTGATAGATAATTGGTTTTGATTAGAGAAAAAACTGACTTTCTAACTAAGGGTCTGAACATATAGATTTAATTGGGAGAAATCGTATTCTTCCATTTTCATTCACCCCCTTTCATAATTTAACTCATATGCAGACCCTTCAGGTTTAATGAATTGTAAATACATGAGTAATAATTCAATTTAAATTATATATGAAGGTTAGTACGTGTTTACAGCGAAAAATAGTAGATCTATTTTGTGTTAAAATATGCATACTAGGTAATACTTTGTAAACACTCAATTTTGACCGGGGTAATTTAGTTTTTTAGAAGTAATAAAAAGAATAAAATTAAGAAGTTTGGGGTGTAGGATTTAGGATATATGGTAATTGAGCATAGGATTACCTATCAATTTTTTACCTAAAACCCTAAAACTAACCCTACTCCTAAGACCCCTAAATATATAAAGACTTAACAAAAGAAAAGAAAGAGAGGAGGCAGCGGACACAGAGAAGGAGAAAAAGAAGGAAAGAAGAAGAAGAAAAAGGAAAGAAGGAAGGGAAGAAAAAAAGAGAAAGAAAAAGAAAGGGAGAAGGAGAAGGAGAATGAGAAAAAGAAGGAGGTAAAGAGAGATCACCATTACACTTCATATTTCTCAAACATCAAGAGGTTCATCTTCTCCATTTTCTTTTCCCTAAGTTTTATTTATTTATTTGTTTATTCTCTTTATTGTATAGTTATGTGGTGGTTGTTTCTGAGTTGAATGTAAATATATTTATTATTATGAGTGACACCGCCACTGCCGCCGCTACCATGGTTGTCGCCACCACTTTTTCCGGCCAAAAGTAATAGTGTGGCCTCATGGCAACCACAACCCAAATTAATTTTACCCTAAAACCCCAAATCAATTTTTACTCTAAACCCCAAATCAATTTTTACATTAAAACCCCAAATCAATTTTAACCTAAACCCCCAAATCAATTTTAACCTAAACCCCCAAATCAATTTTAACCTAAAACCTTAAATCTATTTTACTCTAAAACCTTAAATCTATTTTACTCTAAAACCCTAAATCTATTTTACTCTAAAACCCTAAATTTATTTTACCCTTAAACCTCAAAATCAATTTTAACCTAAATCCCCAAATCAATTTTAACTTAAACCCCAAATCAATTTTAACCTAAAACCAAAATCAATTTTAACCTAAACTCCTAACCAATTTTATCCTAAAATCCCTAAACCATTTCCCCATCTTTTTTTTATTTAATTATTATTATATTCTGTTTTTATTTTATTTTATTATTTTTCTGTTTTTTTAATTTTTTTAATTTTTTTTTGCTTTTTGTTTTTCTATTTTATTTTATGTTTTAATATTAATATTTGTATTATAAAAATTAATATGGAAACAAGAATAATAATAAATAAATAAATAAAGCAATTGAATATTTTAAATAAATCAAGAAGATATAATGCACTATGGGACTCGTTCCCTGTCGCGTTATCTCAAATTGATATTTTTTCTAAACATAAATAAATCAAGGAGATATGTGCACTATGGGACTCGTTCCCTGTCGCGTTACCTCAAATTGATATTTTTTTCTAAACTTTAATAAATCAAGGAGAGATGGTGCACTATGAGACTCCTTCCCTGTCGCATTATCTTAATTTGATTATTTTCAAACATAATTTAATAAAGACAATGAAAGATAGTGCACTATGGGACTCGTGCCCTGTCGCGTTACTCGACCTTGTTATTTGTTTAAAAAAAACTTAAATAAATCAATGAGAGATATGCACTATGGGACTCGTTCCCTGTCGCGTTATCTCAAATTGATATTTTTTTCTAAACTTAAATAAATCAAGGAGAGATGGTGCACTATGGGACTCGTTCCCTGTCGCGTTATCTCAATTTGATTATTTTCAAACATTATTTAATAAAGACAATGGAAGATAGTGCACTATGGGACTCGTGCCCTGTCGCGTTACTCGACCTTGTTATTTGTTTAAAAAAAACTTAAATAAATCAAGAAGAGATATGCACTATGGGACTCGTTCCCTGTCGCGTTATCTCAAATTGATATTTTTTTTCTAAACTTAAATAAATCAAGGAGAGATGGTGTGTAACGCCTCAAATTAACAACGCGAAAAATTCATTCATTTTCTAACATAATAAAATTTCATACCATTTATAATTTCACTTCAACTAGGAATATTCCAATAGTATAGACAAAACTATAAAAAGGGAAAACAACTCAGTAATTCCACAACCTTAGTCTTTTAAATCTATTCAAAGAACGTCAAGACATAAAAGAACAATTCCCATAATCGGGTCCAAGATTAACATAAACAATCCTTTTAAAATTATTACAAAAACACATGCTAAACTCCAATGCAAGTTAATTCACTTCAAGACTCTGATGTCTCTTATTCCTTAGCTCTACCTACAATCCGATTACCACGGATTGAGTAAACAAGACAACATAGAGAGAGCCAATCATTAAATACATGCAATATAAAACATGGTGGATTTAAATAGAATAGTAACATTAGAATATGGTGAACAAAGAACTATACACAACGTTTCAACACAAACACATTCATAATCCTCAATGAACCATTAATCATACTCATACTATCCATCCATAGTACAAACAACTATCCACCATTCGAACCACAATCAAAACCACACTACCAGTGCATACCCAAAATCCATACCACGAAAGGCAGATCAAACTCCATACCACGAAGGCAAGTCAAAATCCATACCACGCAGGCAGGTCAAACTCCATACCACGAAGGCGGGTCAAAATCCATACCACGAAGGCAGGTCAAAATCCATACCACGAAGGCAGGTCAAAATCCATACCACGAAGGCATGTCAAAATCCATACCACGAAGGCAGGTCAAACTCCATACCATGAAGGCATGTCAAACTCCATACCACAAAGGGAGGTCAAAATCCATACCTCGAAGGCATGTCAAAATCCATACCACGAAGGCAGGTCAAAATCCATACCACGAAGGCAGGTCAAACTCCATACCACGAAGGCATGTCAAAATCCATAGTCAAACATACCAATTACATTAGCAAGACTAACGCGGTTAAATAGGAAATTCATGAGATTTCCCGTTTAATCGTGTTAACCAAAAGTAATCCTCCAACTAGTGAGTGTCGTTGGAGTTTCCAATGCTATGATTCTAATACCACAAAGGTTTAATGCTGCTCCCTCACCTGAGTATTCGCTAATGCTTTGCACTAAAGCTCAGTTGCGTTCTCCACCGTCTCCTCTAACCTTAGGGTCTTTCAACCCAAAACAACAACAATCACAACACATCAATTTACAAGTCAAGACAATAATAATACTAACCAAAACTCATACAACACAAGAAAACATCATCTATTCGTTTCATCTTCAATAGAAGGGTTTCCCTAATGTTGAAATGACTATACGGTTTTGAAAACAACTCTTCACACACCCATTTCGAAAAACAACTCATACTTTATGAGTTTTACAAGGTTTTCCAAAGCAAAACGGACCAAAATGCAAAGAGAGTGTTTATGGGGTTTTTATATGGAGAAGAAACCCCATTCATAATGATGACATTCAACCTTAAGAGAGGCTAGGTTAAGCGATTTACATCTTCTCCGGTCTCTTCATTGACTCTAAGGGTGCTCAACTCCTCAAACCGTTCCACTTCTCTTAGTTTTTTGAAAATAAACCCCAATTCTCACTTGAGACGTCTATTTTAGGTTTTCAGATTCTGAACTCTCGCTCAAGCGAGGCTAGGCTCGTCTGGGCGAGAATCCACAACTCTTCGCATCACTCAGGAACTGATGCTCTCGCTCGGGCGACATTTTCTCGTCCAGGCGAGATTTGTCCAATGGCAACACTACTCTCTCGCTTGAGCGAGCTCCCTCTCGCTCAGGCGAGAATTGTCCAGTGGCAACACCACTCTCTCGCTTGAGCGAGCTCCATCTCGCTCAGGCGAGAATCCCCCAGTAGCTCCCAGACTTTCTGATATCTACTATATTCAAAGATTGTAAATTTTGGGATGTTACATGGTGCACTATGTGACTCGTTCCCTGTCGCGTTATCTAAATTTGATTATTTTCAAACATAATTTAATAAAGACAATGGAAGATAGTGCACTATGGGACTCGTGCCCTGTCGCGTTACTCGACCTTGTTATTTGTTTAAAAAAAACATAAATAAATCAAGGAGAGATATGCACTATGTGACTCGTTCCTTGTCGCGTTATCTCAAATTGATATTTTTTTCTGAACTTAAATAAATCAAGGAGATATGGTGCACTATGCGACTCGTTCCCTGTCGCGTTATCTCAATTTGAATATTTTCAAACATAATTTAATAAAGACAATGGAAGATAGTGCACTATGGGACTCGTGCCCTATCGCGTTACTCAACCTTGTTATTTGTTTTAAAAAAAAACCTTAAATAAATCAAGGAGAGATATGCACTATGGGACTCGTTTCATGTCGCGTTGTCTCAAATTGATATTTTTTTTATAAACTTAAATAAATCAAGGAGAGATAGTGCACTATGGGACTCGTTCCCTGTTGCGTTATCTCAATTTGATTATTTTCAAACATAATTTTATAAAGACAATGGAAGATAAGTGCACTATGGGACTCATGCCCTGTCACGTTACTCGACCTTGTTATTTGTTTAAAAATAATAATAAAAAATATATATCAACCAATCAACCTTTTTTCTGAAAGAACTACGTAGCCTTGATTTCTCTATTGTAGCTAGAGATACGTAGCAGCAGAGTTTTTCCTGTCAGGCATAAAAATTAAAAAAATATTTTTTTGTTCTTTCTTTTTTACTTAATAATGTGAGGGTAATATTTCGAATAAATATCCACATGATTAATCTAGGTACCGTTTTTATAACGGGAAGTATGAGGTGCCTAACACCTTCCTCATCCGTAACCGACTCCCGAACTTAATTTTTCCGTGTAATCAGACCAAATTCTTTTTATTTAAAAAAAATTGGTTTTTCATGTTTTCCCTCTAAAAAAACATTGATGACGACTCTATTGCATTTATTTGCACATTTCCCGTCGTACCCACGGAAAAGGGGTAGCGACAGAATGACGACTCTGTTGGGGACTATCTGAGAGTCAGGCCTTAAATGATTAATTATGTGGATGTTTCATTCATTATGTTAATTTTATCCATTTTTTTGTTTTTTATTTTTTAACTACTTATTTATATATTTAACTCTTGTACAAAGAATTTTTGTTTTGCTGTATGTACAGGTTATGGGGTGGTTTATGGTTTTTTGTATGTATACCTTCGAGGTTTGTACGCTCCGTCACACACTTCACTACTCATGCATTGTTCTTTCGATCGTCTACTAGGCCTATTTACCTACTGTTTAGGGATACATCGGCTTGTCGTTATTGGACCCTCGTGCACATTTCGAAATTGCGCCGGTGTATCACTCAGATTGTTACTAGGTATTTCGGATATGACCCCCATGGTGTCTCGTACATCTTTGTGTCATGTTCGTGTATCTGGGTCGTCACCTTCAACTAGTGACGGCAGTCCATGAATCTAGAGGAAGTCTAGTACCACCAAATCTTACATATATGGACCGTAGTACTTCGCCTTAGAGTTGACATTTTAGAATGAAACGAACCATGTAGGGAAAATCACCTTTGTATAGGACACGAGATTATACATTTTTCTTATTATTATTGTATTTTGTTATTCGGCATAAAGTCAGGAAAACTTTCATCCTGCAATCATGGTGACTCTGTGTCACACGAGCCTGAATGAATTAAGGTACCACTGCACTTTGGTATCCTTATGTCATGATAGAAGACTTTTAAAATCATCATGCACATTCATACAAAAAAGGGCATTCATGCATTTAATATGCTAAAAATAAAACATATTTACATGTTCAATCCATGTCCTCATTTCATGCATTCTGAAAAAAAAGCATGCATTTCATATGCTAAAATAAAAAAAAAAGTAAAAAAAAAACATATCTAGATATCTAATCATGTTGTCATTTCTTACATGATCATTCATGCATAAAAAAAAGGAGGAACATTCATGCATCATTCATCTATGATACACGTATTTATGCTTATACAAAAGATTAATATTATCATTTCTTTTAGGATCTTTGACCAACGATGACATATTCTACACAGTCAGAGGCCATTGATACATAGCCAAGTGCTAGTAATGCTAATGTCAAGAAAGGGGTGAAAGCCGATTTCAAGATTGCCAAACTCGGTAATATCAGATTAATGGCTGAGAAGATTCCCTCTGAGGTTCAAATTGAGTTCTTGGAAGAATATGGGAGATTGTATGATCTGTTGTTCGTTGACGTCAAGGTTGCAGCTCTTAATGCACTTACTCAAATCTGGAACAGTGATTTAGGGGTGTTCGAGATGCATCGCTTAGACACAGTCCCGATAATTGAAGCATACCAACAGTTGCTTTTGTGTCGAAGGGGTCACGGAATCTATATTCCAAGGGGTGACGCTCAGACCAATGCAATGAGGAAGATCATCGGACTGACTCCCGCAGACCATGTAGAAAGGAATGACAATCAGGGTTGGTTACAAAGCGCTCTGGAACGACACTTACATAAATTAGTGGGTCAAAAGGAGTGGATATCAGTCAAACCTACCCTGGCCTTACTCATATACGGATTAGTCATGTTCCCATCAGTCCCTGACACGGTAGGACTCGATGCTATGGGGGTCTTTTATAAGGTATATAAGTGGAAAGTAGACCCCGTGCCAGGAATCCTGGGAGACACCGTCATCGCTCTGTGTAATTGTCATAAGAAGGGGTTTCATAAGATCCAGTGTTGTGCCGACCTGATATATGTATGGATGGCCACACATGTGCATGCCATCAAATATCAAGCCTTCAATTCTGTTGCACTCAAAGAGGATTCAGTGGCTCAATGGAAGGTGACGCTCGAGAACCTAATTCTTGGTGATTATCGGTGGATGTGCTATTGGTGTCCACAGAAAAGTATGATCATCAGGTGTGGGTCATACAACAATGTGCCCTTACTTGACACTAATGTATGTTTCTTCAACACTCCTGAATTGGTATTGCGGCAACTTGGACGGATGCAAATCAGACCAGCCGACGAACCTAAAAGCATCATCTGCCTCTATGGGGATGACAGTGATTTGGTAAAAAAGGTCAAGGAGGCTTGGGATAAGCTAGTCCTTAGGGAGGATCAGCAACGAGGGATTGCAAGAGTCCGCAGTACACCTGAGTATGACATTTGGAGAGCTGATAGGGTTGGAGAAGTGACAATCTCACCACCGCTTCCAAGAGAAGAATGTTTATCTTCGAGGGAGAAGGAGCTCCAAAGTACGATAGAGACCTTCAGGGAGCAGATGAATATAATTGATGGGAAAAGGCAGGATGCTCTCATTGAGGTGACGAGGAAAGACCATGAGATCAAAGTGCTTAAAAAGGAACTGAAAATAGAGAAAGAAACCTATGTTCCAGCCACCCTAAAAAGGGCTAAGACAGAGGCCTCTCTCCATACCCATAAGCTGAGGGAGCAATTGGATGTCCATAGGGAAGCTATGGCTACTGAGACTCGACAAAAAAATGAGTTGAAAGAGCAGCTGGGGGACTTCCAAAGAGGAGGATAAGCAGAAAGAATCTATGGAGTGGAATCCGAAACTGGAGGGAATCTATGGAGTGGATGAACCCCAAGCCTCAAAATGAATCAACGTTCATGGAGGAGAACTCAGAGGAAGAGGATCCGGAAGAAGAAGATATTATTGTAATAGATGATGATTAGAGTGGACCATCAAATTTTGTAAAAAGGGAAAGAAAAAAAAAAACATTGTCATTCCTTTCCCTTGAAAAAAAAACATATATGTTGCAAGGTAATGAAGTCCAATTTTACTTATTCCTTTCCTCAAACTCCTATAGTTCTCACTTATTATATTTGATCCCTTTAAAGACTGTAAACTTTGAAGTTCTGGGCAGAATGCATGACTCAAGATAGCATTACTAGCGCGAAGCTGAGAAATGCAGCCACACCATGGAGCCCTTGTGCTCCTTTCGTGGTTGTCATTAACCGCAATACGATCTAAAGGGGTTATAACCTTAGAAAACGGTTGCGGGATGGTCGCCAAAGGCTGTGCAAATATTTCATCGTTGGGTAAAAGGAACTAACCTTAAATAAATTGGTAATAAGAATCAATGATTTAATGAATGTTTTTTTTCTTTATATAAAAAAAATGCAGGACTTAAATTTGGAACCATTGGGCGGTCTCGAAAGGATAACTCATTCGAAGCTACTCGTACAACACAAGATCACGTGCAAGAATGGATGCTGATAATGCAAATTTCGGAAGGAATTTTGTTACGGAAATCGATGAGGTAAAAGGGAAGATGAATGAGTTGGCTCAGGCGCAAAACATGATGGAGGACACGTTGTAGGCCATCAGGGATAGTCTGTCTCAACATACTCAAAACCATGGAGAAAGGAATGTTGGAACTCGACAGGTAAACAATCCTATCCAAGAGGAGCCTCATACCAATGTACAATTCACTATTTCGATTGGAGAGGGGTACCGTCCAATAGGAGATGCCCCTCCAGAGGGAGAAGGTTCTAATCGACCACATTTTGAACAACCTCGAGTGCCCAACTTTCATCAAACAACGGGCGCTCGCCCTATCAAAAACAACGATCCAATTGGGGGAAGGGATAAGGCTTATGAGGATTGGATGGAAAAAATTGAGGAGCAACTGAAGACAATCCGAGGGGCAGATGATCATGGGTCCCTGGGGATTGAGGAGCTATGTCATGCCACCAATGTGGTGATCCCCAAGGATTTCAAGGTACCCGATTTTTCCAAGTACGATAGGAGTGGTAACTCGCGGTTCCACCTAGTTAGTTACGCTACAAAGATGACCATGTGGTCAAGAGATGACAGTTTCCTCATTTGTTTCTTCCATGAAAGTTTAACCGGACTGACGCTGGAGTGGTACTTGGAATTGGATTTAAGTCGCATCTTTAGGTGGACGAGTTGGCTGATCTGTTTATGGATTAGTATAAGTTTAATGTGGAATTAGCCCTGACTCGTGAGCAACTTGGGGCAATGCAGAAGAAGAGGACTGAATCATTTAGGGAGTATGCGATAAGATGGAGGGGTTTGGCAGTCTAGGTGCAACCCAAGATGACAATGCCTGAGATATACTCGTATTTCATGGGGACATTGGGGATCCCTCATATCGGGATAATGGCTGGTGTCGCTTACAAAGATTTTCGAGAGCTGATGGATGCTGGTGATAGGATTGAGATTTTGACCAAGGCCGGGAAATTGTCGATAGGGGAATGAGACAACAATGGCAATAAAAAGAATGTGCCACTGAGGAAGAAGGAGAGTGAGGTAAACCAGGAGCACCAACAACAACAATGGACGTCCCAATATACCTCACCCGAACAGACCCCCACATACCAAGTGAATAATGTCCCTCTACCTTACAACTACACCCGAACACCACACGCTGACCAACCCCGACCTTACGTCTCTAATCATACCAACCCACTCTTCCGCCAAACCTATAATCAAAACCGCTCTGCCTCCGTAAACGCACAAGCCCAACCCAATCCCCGCCCAAACACATTTTTCCCTAACCTTCCCCCTTTTCCAAAGCTAGCTATATCCAATGCCGAATTGTTCCAACAATTGGTAGATCGTCACCTGTTGGCACCATACCCTTTCCGACCCATTGAATCCAACTTTCCGCACTGGTATAATGCGAATCTCACTTGTAGTTATCACATGGATGTCGCGGGACATTCCATTGAAGACTGTGAACAATTTAAGATGGCGGTGAGGAAGTTAATGGCTTGTGGGAAGCTAGAGTTTGAGGATGAGGTTCGACTGGATATTAGTAAAAACCCTATCCCGAACCATAATCAGAGGATAAATGTCATTGCCGTGGAAAAAACTCATGTGAAAAGAGTATCTGATCTGAGAGTGCGATGCAATGCTTCTTCGACACTTTGAAGATGACCGAATATGACATTATGGCACCAACCAGGAACGTGAGTGATGAGGACGGTTGGGATCTAGAGTCTCACTGTGATTACCATCATGGTCAGGCTGGACACTCCATAGAGAATTGTTGGGGGTATAAGGCAAGGGTTCAGGTCCTACTAAACCTTGGGGTCATCGAGGTCAAAAAGGGTGAATCCAATAACAAAGAACTTGACATGGTGGAAAAGGTCAGATACTCTTTTCACAAGAGTTTTTTCCAAAGTGTCGAAGAGGCATTGCATCGACACTCTCAGATCAGATACTCTTTTCACAAGAGTTTTTTCCACAGCAATGACATTTATCCTCTGATTATGGTTCGAGATAGGGTTTTTACTAATATCCGGTCGAACCTCATCCTCAAACTCTAGCTTCCCACAATCCATTAACTTCCTCACCGCCATCTTAAATTGTTCACAGTCTTCAATGGAGTGTCCTGCGACGTCCATGTGATAACTACAAGTGAGATTTGCATTGTACCAGTGTGGAAAGTTGGATTCAATGGGTCGGACAGGGTATGGTGGCAATAAATGACGATCTACCAATTGTTGGAACAATTCGGCATTGGATATAGCTAGCTTTGGAAAAGGGGGAAGGTTAAGGAAAAATGTGTTTGGGCGGGGATTGGGTTGGGCTTGTGCGTTTACGGAGGCAGAGCGGTTTTGATTATAGGTTTGGCGGAAGAGTGGGTTGGTATGATTGGAGACGTAAGGTCGGGGTTGGTCAGCGTGTGGTGTTCGTGTGTAGTTGTAAGGTTGAGGGACATTATTCACTTGGTACGCGGGGGTCTGTTCGGGTGAGGTATATTGGGACGTCCATTGTTGTTGTTGGTGCTCCTGGTTTACCTCACTCTCCTTCTTCCTCAGTGGCACATTCTTTTTATTGCCATTGTTGTCTCCTTCCCCTATCGACAATTTCCCGGCCTTGGTCAAAATCTCAATCCTATCACCAGCATCCATCAGCTCTCGAAAATCTTTGTAAGCGACACCAGCCATTATCCCGATATGAGGGGTCCCCAATGTCCCCATGAAATACGAGTATATCTCAGGCATTGTCATCTTGGGTTGCACCTAGACTGCCAAACCCCTCCATCTTATCGCATACTCCCTAAATGATTCAGTCCTCTTCTTCTGCATTGCCCCAAGTTGCTCACGAGTCAGGGCTAATTCCACATTAAACTTATACTGATCCATAGACAGATCAGCCAACTCGTCCACCTAGAGATGCGACTTAAATCCAATTCCAAGTACCACTCCAGCGTTGGTCCGGTTAAACTTTCATGGAAGAAACAAATGAGGAAACCGTCCTCTCTTGGCCACATGGCCATCTTTGTAGCGTAACTAACTAGGTGGAACCGCGAGTTGCCACTCCCATCGTACTTGGAAAAATCG